TAGCTGCCTTCCCTCTAGTCTTACACTGCTAAATTAGGGACGGCTAGCGCAGATAGCCCTTGTGTAGCTTTGCGCGAATTTCAAAACAAACAAACAATTTATGCCTTGAACGAGAAAAAACTTCAATGTGAAAATTTAGGGGTTATTTTTCGGTATTAATCATAATAAAATCGTTATATCGCGTTTTTTTTTTTTCAGTGCTAAAAATTTAAGTTTTTTTTTTATATGATTATGATTCACTATTAATTTCCAGACGAAAAAATATGTAATGCTTTAAGGTATTTCACTTGTGCATGTCTTGAATGAATACTTATTCTGATGAAATAAACTTAATATAGTAATAATCAGTGTGACATCTAATGGCTTTTATCGGCTATTGCTTGAATACAATTTGTTTGCATTATTTTGATATAAAGTAGGTGAATCAAAGATTTGGTAAGATTTTTGATGGTATTTTCTCTCTTGTATTTCCCTCCCTCTCACTTATACGCTTTAAAACTTGAGGGTTTATAATGTTAAAATTCGGGATTCAATCCCCGCGATGGGCACAGCACATTTGATCTGTTTTGTAGTTTGTTTTTAGTTAAGGGCACAGCTTTCTTGTGACGAATTCAGGTGGACAGAAATGGTGTCGAGAAGGAAGTCGCCTTCTCTGAAATGTTAAGTGGATTCTGTCACCTTCAGGCCTAGCCTTAGCGGATTTTTAAAATTGTTTTTTAATGTTTATTATTATTTTCTCCTCAGCTTGCATTATATTATGATGTGTGATAAAATATATAAAAATGTGGAACAATAGACTACATTAAATTAAAAGCTAGTAATTGTATTTATTTAAACTCCCGTGTGGATTGTTTTCCGTGTTATCGCATCGAAAAACAAACAATAATATATAGTCATTATATATATATATATATATATGTGTGTGTGTGTGTGTGTGTATGTGTGTGTGTGTTTGTGCACGGTCACGGATAATCCTCGTTTCCATCTTTAATGGAAACTGCGGCGAAATTGTGTTTGTGTGATGTTTTTCTAAATCTATAAATATAGTAGCCTATAACATTTTCAACATGTCCGATGGAAGACAACGGTTGCCAGGGGCGGAGTATCGGAAAAGAAAGCCTGAAAAATAAGATTCTGTATCGAGCCAAAAAAGGGATCCCTTTTGAAATTTATTAAATACGACTAGTAGCAAGCAGGCCGCATCATCGTGTCAGAAATCGGTGCCCGTAGACAGCAGTAGACAGTCTTCAGACAGTAGGGAAAATTAAACACGATGAAAACGATGAGACAATCGAAAAAGTTGCAGAGAATTCATCTTGACCTCAAATAGCATCAGTTATGGAAACAGAAAATCAAAATGTAGTTGAAGAAGATAAATTAACTTGCATAATAATGTCTGTGAAAGTACAACTTAAAGTTACAGCCGAGATGCTTCTGTTTCAGAAGATCCTGCAAAATGGCCTAAAGCAGAATGATAACTTCGACAGTCGTTAGTGCGAAAAGGACGGGAACAGCAGAAAGGGTTTGATTTTCCGAAAGACAGTAGCATCAGAAGATTCACTGCTAAGTATTACCTACGAGTGTTGGTCAAACAGAGAAGTAGAGGTCGTAGTTGGTTTATTCAACGAGCAAAAATGCAGCATTTAGCTGCAAAATTTTCATGTTTAATACAAAATTTGTTCTTTCAACGGACGGTACCCAAGATTTGTCTATGTTTTTAAACAAACATGAGAAGTCACCTGATCACCTAAAATCAATCCAACAATGAAAGGAATTTGACACAAGACTAAATACCAACACAACTATTGATGATGAAAATCAGTGCATTGTTAAAGCAGAAACACAACACTGGCGGAATGTGTTGGAGAGGCTTACTGCCTTAATAAGAGTACTTGGTACTTAAAACGTAGCACTGCGTGGGAGTTCGGATAAACTGTTCGAGCACACTAAAGGAAATTTTCCCAAATCTGTTTGATGGTGTGATGAAAGAACATCTTAGAAGAATCACACCACACGAAATCCACGATCAAAATATTCAAAACAAGATCATGTAGATATTGTCAAGAGAGATTAAGGAAACGTTACTTAAAACAGCAAAATACAACTAGGTGATTTTGGACTGCAAGAATCCAAAATCAACTTTTTTAATCATGTATTGGATTGCTATATAATCAGTGGAAGAGTGTTTTACACAGTCTCAGGAACCAAGTGATACGTTCAAAATTGTGTACAACATCCACATAGTGGCTGAAATGGGAACAAACATGTAATTTCATCAGTGCAACGTTCTTGAATGGTTCTCTCACACAGCGTTTCAAAAGACATTGACGCACTTGAATTAAGTGACGAGTGAAAAACTGTCCAGAAGAATGGATTTGGGATCAAAACCTAAAGCTACCTTAGAATATATTTTCAAGAACAGTATGTCGTCTGTGTTTTTAAACGCATATATTTCTTTGAGAATACTGCTGGTCACAGTTGCGAGTGAGGAAAGCAATTTCTCAAAATTGAAGTTAATCAAAAATTATTTGCCGTCCACCGTGACACAATATCGGTTGAATGGACTTGTGATAGTATCAGTATCGGTTGAATGGACTTGTGATAGTATCAGTATCGGTTGAATGGACTTGTGATAGTATCAATATCGATTGAATGGACTTGTGATAGTATCAATATCGATTGAATGGACTTGTGATAGTATCAATACCGATTGAATGGACTTGTGATAGTATCAATACCGATTGAATGGACTTGTGATAGTATCAATACCGATTGAATGGACTTGTGATAGTATCAATATCGATTGAATGGACTTGTGATAGTATCAATATCGGTTGAATGGACTTGTGATAGTATCAATATCGATTGAATGGACTTGTGATAGTATCAATATCGATTGAATGGACTTGTGATAGTATCATTATCGATTGAATGGACTTGTGGTAGTATCAATTGAACATGAACTTGCCAAACCGGATCTTCGCAGCAAAAAGGTCTAGACGAGTCGCGTTCCA